TCATTATATTGTTTAGCCAAAATAAAGTGATCAAATTATTGTACATTGGCTAAGGAACTTAATTTAGATTGCGGAATGATTAAATGTGGACACCCGGTAATATTATTATTTGGTGACGTAAAAAATAATAATATTAAACTTAATGACCTAAATAATGTATAATTTGGGTCAAAATTATTTATGGGTGTAGTCCCCAAAAGCCGTGAAAATAAAGTGATGCCCATTAGATAACCCATAATGAATAAAAGTCATGTGGGATAGCCCCATGTGGAGCTGTCCCATTGGTGGTTGGTTCCATAAGGAAACCAACCATCTGGTTTTATAGAAAAACTGTATAATATTAAAACAAACTTTATTTTACAAGCTTCAATTTCACACTCATATTGTATATATAAGTTAAACATGTTGTGTATATATATGTGTGTGTGGAACTTTTTTTAGACATGTTGTACATATAAAATAATTTAGAAAAATTTAAGTGAGCTCACATTTTGTAAGAATAATATAAATATTTTAGATAATATGACATATGTTATATAACAATTTAGGTGTTTTAATATTTTAAACATACATATTTAGTGTTCTTTTAAACAAGATAAAAAAAACTATAAAAAATATTAGTGAATATTATTTAGATAATCAAGTATAATCGATATTAAATGATAAACTAACAACTCATTTGTCGAACTGCCATATAAGTGATCATATTATAAATAGATCCATCTTAGGCTTCTATTTAAGTTCCAGCGGCACCAGTTTTTTCTTATTTTTAGGGTTCCATTTAACAGTCAAGGTCAATCTTTTTGTATAAAAAAGTGTAAAAACACGAGTTAATTTTATTTAGTTAATAAAGTATAATGATATTAAAATAATAAACTAACAGCTAATTTGTCTGGTTGCCTAAGTAAATTATCATATTATAAATAAATCCATCTAAGGATTACATTCAAACTCCATCAGCACCAATTCCTTCTAATATTAGTGTTCCATTTAAGAGTCAGGGTCATCTTTATGTGTGTTGGCATGTTCTTAAAGAAATTGGTTCTTAGTCACTACCAATTATATGTTGTTGTTTCACGTGTACGTAATAGATAAAAGTCGTGTATTGGCATGTTCTTAAAAAAATCAGTTTTTGGTCACAACCAATTATCTGTTATTGTTACGGGTGTAAGTAATAGATAAAGAAGAGTCAATGTCAACATTTATTTTACGTTGGCATGTTCTTAAACAAATCGATTTTTAGTCACAGACAATTATGTTGTTTGTTTCGCGTGTAAGTAATAGAAAATAGTTGAAAATATTAGTTTGTGGGGACGACAAATTGCTTAGTTATCAAACAAATATTGATGTGTATAATGAAGTTTTAATAATATATTTTTTTCATGAGGAACATTTTATTATTTGACAATTTCAGTATGAATTATCACTCTTTTGTTTATTAATACATTTAAATTTAATATTTCCCAAAAATAAATACAGCCTGTGCATCGCACGGGTTACATACTAGTTTTCAATTATTGTTGTACATCATGATATTATATTATATATAATTACAATTCTCATTAATATTATACTCAAATATAAAAAAATATTCCATGCATTGTTTAATAAAAAATGCTTTATTATAATACAGAATAATAGATGGATGAATAATGGTAATATATCGACATAATTTCTTGGTAAGGAATAATTACTTTTCAACGTATATAGGCATATCATCATTTTATATATGTTTTTTATTAATTTGACTATTATGGTGAATAAAAGTACAAATAACTATTGTTTGTCACCTAAAACTTACACCTATGATTAATAAGAACAAAAAATTAACAAGCGTTTAATAACTCAGCTCGTTAACAGTTCATACATCAATAAATAATGGTAATTAAAATACTAAATCTAATTTGTAATTTTTTTTATTTATTAATTGTGCTCAAGCAGTATCCCATTTGACATGAAAATAAATAAATTGGGTTTTAATATTATACAATTTCATAAAATTGTTTCAATCTTATTTTACGCAAAAAAAAAAAATGAGTAAATTAGAAGTTTAGGGCTGCAAAACAAGCATTCAACAATTAATTTCTCATACTATTACACAATTTATTATTATTTTTAAGTTATTTGAAAAAAAAAATGTTTCTATACTTTATGGGCGTGATGAGGACAAACATCATCGATTTCAATTTTTTTACTTATAGTTAGTAATGAGATGAGTAATATGGTGATATATGATATAATTTATTGGTAAAACTTAATTAATTTTTAGTGCATATAAGCATATCTGATTCTCTAGATATCTTAATTAATTTGCAGATAATCGTATGATTGAAATTAAATCATACTACCCAAGTAATATATCATTCTACATGAAAACAAATGGATTCAGTTTTAGTATTATACAATTTCATAAAATTATTATCTTATTTTAAGTAAAGAATTTGAGTATATTAGAAGTTTAGGTTGCAAAACAATATTATTCAACAATTTGTCTTTCATACTATTGCACTATTTATTCTTTCTTTTTATAGGTTATTTTGAAAAAAAAAAATATATAGTTTTTGGTCGTTATGAGGACAAGCAATATCGATTTTAAACTTTTTACTTATAGTTATTAATAAACTTATAAACTTAAATAAATATTATTGAAATTGTTACATTTTTTGATTGGATACTGAAGGGTAAATAAACTCTCAAATTTTATTGAGAAAATCATAATAACATTCAAGTATCTTAAAATAATATCAATAAATAAAATATTTATTATATAAATTTTTTAATTATTATCGTTTATAGCGTGCTCATCTTGAAAATAAATTGCTCAAATGAAGTAATAATAATTGAAATGTCATGATATATTTTGTGAATAATTGAATGCAAAACTTCAAATGTTTTAAGTGTTAATAATTAAAATATTAGAAAAAATTGATATTAATCACCTAATGGTCGGGTGAAGATTCATTAACTTTATCGGCTTTGTGACCATAATTTTGAAAATACAAACTAACAAACAAATAAATGATGATTTTTGTGGAATCGAATTTCCATCTAATAAAACTAAGGTGCAATTTTCAATTCTAATTCTAAATATAAGAGTCTATTTTCTTAAATAATGAAGTAGTTAAATGAATTCTTTCACTTTTCTAGTTTGTTAGAATATGTATATTGTTCACGTGTGCATGATTTCAGTAAAATTTAATGTATCTTTTCTTAATTAAAATTAAATATGTATCTTTAAAATTGTTTATTATATACAAGTTACCCTTAACTAAGTTATCATGTTTTACCAAGGTTTATTGTTTTGATAAAAGATAGGTAAATAAATAGTTAGAAATATTTGAATTCTTTATAAGTATTTATTATTTTATTTTTGTTGCATTAATTTTTTTTAAAGAACTTTTATAGATTAAAACCATTAAATACGATTACGATTTTACTTAAAATTATATTAAAAATAAGAGATATTTTTTTTTCAAAACAACAATTCTATATCATTTCAAAGCTTTGTTGTTTGGATTAATGTTTGGTTGATTTTTTGGAGATATGAATTAAAAAACAGTTTGAGAGATATGTGGAAGAAAGTAAATTCTTGAATAATAAAGGTGCAGGAAATTGTGGTTGATTTTTAAGAGATATGGAATGTTTTATTTCTGTAATTATATTTAATTAATTAAATGTTAAACAGGTTTTAGTGTATTACTAATTTGAAATTAAAAAAATATATCAAATAAAAGGTTTTTAGGTAAATATTAGTTATTAATTAAAATATAAGATGATATGGATATTAGTATATTATTGATTTGCCATTAAAAATATGTCAAGGTAAGAGTATTTTAGACAACTTATATTTTTACAATAACACTCGTCTTTTTAGAGTAGTATAAATATAGATATAAATACAGATAGCTATAGATAAATAAATATCTATCTATATCTATATTTATATTTATATTTATATTTATACTAACTTAAAACGAATTTTTACCTACTTAAACAAGATGAGCCTTTTGTTTATTTTGTTGAATGAGTCTAGCCAAACAAACGCCAATCAGAACACGAGCTACAACTTCGTCCTATCACCTAGGCCTTCCCTCACTCTCACCCGTGCCGGCACGTGATTCTCACATGCTAACTGTGTCTCCGCACGCAGCCTACGTGAACCAGTGACGCCCATCCACGTACCCATCCCAATTACTGCTAGAACAATCCAAGGGATATGCCAGATGCCCTTTCCAATCTAATCACACTACTTATATTTTTGGAAATGCAATTAAGGCCTCGTTACAGAATCATTCAGTTGGATTTTGTAACCGTTAGATCATCTTTTGTAACGAGACCGAAACATCTTCTTTTTTGGCATCTAATCACACTATCTAACCGTCCGATATAGTTGATCTAATAGTTACAAACCTCGACGAAATAGTTCCGTAACGAGACCAAAACATCTTTTTTTTTTGGCATCTTCCATATTTTTTCCTTTTTGGTCTAATCTTTTATTTATTGAAATAAATCACACTTGCATTAAAGCACCAAACCAGGATACACTCCGTTGACGATTTTTTTATCAGAAAATAAAAAAAATTAAAGTTTTGGACACAAAAATACACAAACAAAGAGGAGTGGAATAAAATCAAAAGCACGTATTTAGTGAATACATTTTTTTATTATAAAACGTATTTTCAACGTTTTCCTTTGTAAAAAAAATTTGTAAGACGTATTCACTAAATACGTTTTACAATTAAATTTGTACTGAAAACATATTTAGTGAATACTTGCTTTCTATTTTGTTCCACTTTTTTTTTTTTTTTTTTTTTTTTTTTTTTT